CTTCCTTCGCTTAACCACCTGGGCCTGGGTCGACGATGCGCGCGCCCGGATGGTCGGCCCCAGCAGGCCCTTGCTCGCCAATTTCCCAGGGGCCATGAAGTTTATCGAGGAGGGGCGGTCGACCTCGGGCGCAAGCCACCCCCGAAGTCAGCACCATTGGCCAACAACAGTGACCCCCGAAACCAGACCCAGGCGAGTTGCCGCAACATCGGGATCCCGCCCCAGACCAAGTTGGGCACCAGGGGCCTCGGCTGGGACTCTACTGCAGGGAAGCGCAGGACCTTCAAGTTTCGTAGAGCACGGTTGCGCCTCGGGTTCAGAGGGCATAGGAGCATCAAGGGGCCCCGAAGGATCACCGAGAGCGCCCGTCGTCTCTACCGAGCGGGAGCCCAACCACAGCTGCACTGTCGGGGGCTCGAAGGTCACGGCGTTTCTCATGCCGAACTCACCGGGCACAGGCGAGCGGCAGGCGAAGCGCTGGGAGTCAGCAAGCCAGGGAGTTGTCTCACGGCGGGCCCGCACCAGTCCAAGCTGCCGCCCAGCGCCCTGGGCCCCGCCATCTGTTTGCGCCCCCGGCTGTTTGAATTCCTGGCCAAAGCTCGCAGCAAAGCTCCACAGGCCCAGATGTTGGAATTTCGTCGTCCGCCACCTCAGTGCAGTGATCGGGGCCCTCCTGGACATGGGGTGGAGCCCAGACTCAGCATGGCCATGGGCGGGGCCAAACGGCGAGGTTTTCCAAGTGGGCCCCGAGAAGTTCAAGGGCCAAGATTATTTCCTGCGCAGGTTCCAACAGCGTCTCCATCATACGGCCCGGGGAGGAGCACAGGGAGGACATGCAGCTGGAGGATGTCAAGGAGGAGTTGATATACAGTGCACGCGATGACAGATCGAGAGCTGTTTCAGAGATGGCCAGCAGCACCTCGCGAAGGCGCTCAAGGCCGCCAGCATTTGCTCCGCCTGGAGCCCGCGCCGCAGGTTCGAAGGGGGGATCGCCGAGAATGCAGATTGCCCTCTTTGTGGTGACCACCATGTCGATGACTACCGCAAGTTCTGGGACTGCCCCCTTCCCCACCAAGCGGGACACCCCCTCGCCCAGGCCGCCTGAGACCTCGGGGACCTCGCCCAGGGAGATGGCCAGCCCGCCTGCGTTCGGATCAGAGGAATGATACCAGCTGAGCTCGCCCTGAAAGCAGTGGAGGACACCGCACCCAAGCACCCCGTCTTGCAGGGGGCGGGCGCTTTCCTTGGCCCCCCCGAGCCGAGGGGCGGTTGGCGCCTTGGCTCCGTGGACGGTTCAGGGGGTGCTTTCTCGGCCGATCCCCGCCTCGGGCGAGTAGGATGGGGCGCGGGGGTGCGGGGAGAAGATGCAACCGCCCTCGGCGCTCTCCAAAGGAATGTCGCAGGGGGCTCAGATTATCAACCGAGCGGAGCTTAAAGAGGCTATAGAGCTGCTCCGCCACACCCGAGGGGACCTCGTGGTGGTTACAGATCCCGCGCACCTTGTCAGAGGCCACCACAAGTGACCCCGTTGGAGAATGCCCACCAACAGGAGGCTCTGGTTTGAGTATTGGCGCGTCTTGGGCTCTCGTGAGGGCCAAACTCGGTACCTCAAGGTGAAGAGTCACGCCGCCGACCCCGAGGTCCGCTCCCGTTTTCCAGCCTGGGGCTTTTTTTTGGTCAGTTACCAGGCGGAACGGCTCGCAAGCGAAGCCGCAGCCCGTGCTGCAGCGCCTGAAGATCTGGCCCAGAGAGCGTTGGCCATCGACGCCATCGCAGCTCAGATCAGAGGGCGTTTGGCAGCGGTCCAGATGCTCTGGTGGACCCAATTTCCCAGTGATAGAGGAGGCCGCCGAGACCAAACGGGCTCGGCGGTAGGGCGTTGCAACACCTCCTCTCGGCGACCCCGCACCTGCCCCAAGTGTGTGATGATTCGCTGTGATGATTAAGTGATGTGTCGCCGCTGCGGGAAGCAGACCCACGGGAGGTCCTGCGCCAATTGGCTCAGATCAGCGCGCCGACTTCCCGCAGCCGTCGGGGCCGAGCTGATCCTCTGCATCGCCGGGAGTGGAGGGATTTTAGATTTCAAGGAGGAAGGGCCTGCCATCCACCCCAGCCACCGGCATCACCTCGTCCTGTGTCGCAGCGTTTTGTGGCGTCGGCGGTGCGGATGTTGGCGGGTTCGGGCCTCTCGCAAATTCAAAGAGCCGTGTACCCCACCCAGCAATAGCCAGAGTGGGGGACATGAGGCCAGAATGAAGCCCACCAAGGAGCAGCCACCACCAGGCCTGAAAGGGTGGCCCGCGGGGAGCTCGTGAGCCCCAGTAGTCCTCCTGGCGCGCAGAGATTGGGACTGTCCGAGTGGGCGCGCGCGCGGAGGAGGAGGAGGAGAAGGAGGATGAGGAGGAGGAGGAGGAAGAGGAGAAAGATGAGGAGGAAGGAGGAGGAGGAGGAGGACGGAGGAGGAGGAGGAGGATACATACATACATACATACATACATACATACATACATACATACATACATACATATATATATATAATCAACATACAAGACTGAATTGGCGCATCGCGCCATGCGCCTTGTTCCGGACCCTCCCCTGCAAAGCAATGCATCATGGTTTGTTTGTTTCAGCAGGAGGACCTCGAGGCCTGGACGGGCGACCGGTTCATTTTTTTGATATCCTTGGCGCCTGCTGGCACCGCTCTCGCCCGATGCGTTTGCACGCTTGTGCGCAGGAGTGGGGGGGGAGTGAAGATTTCTTCACGCGCCAAGGTTTTTTGAGGAAGTAAGGAGCGTTCCCATGACACGCCGAAGAAGTCGCAGTAGCTCCGAACAAATCGATGTTCGGTCGTTTACTGAATGCCTGGAGGGCTCCAGGCACTCAGGAAATCGGCGGTCGTCGAACTTCGAATGTGGATCCCTTGCCTGTTTCTTTCGACCGAGGAACTTCAACCTCGAGCCTCATGCGTGGAACCAAGATCGTCGGCTCAGTTATATGTATTTCGTAAGAGAACGCCGTCTGGGCGTTTTCGGGGCTCTCCTCTTGGGCCGCCCTGGGCCTTCTTAGGCCGTCTTGGGGAGCGGGGGCCTTCCAGAGGTCTTCTGGAGCCATCTAGGGCCCTCTTGGGGGCCTCCAGTGGCCTTCTCAGGGGTCCCATGGTTTTCATGGGTCTGTCTTGGGAGCCTTTTGGGGGCGTCGTAAGCATATAGTGGGCAATACCGGGGCTCTCTCGGGCAGTCGTTGGAGCCTCTTGGGCTCTCTTCAAACCCTCTGGGGGGGCCTCTTGGGGAGTTTTGCGGCGATGTTGGGGGCCCATCGGGCCGTTTTGGGCGCTGCGAAGGCCCATGCAGCGGATCTGCTAAAATATACATCTTCTTGCGGGAATGTGACGATGCTGGCTTATTCGGGGCATTCTTAACGGCCTCTTGGGGCGTCTTGGGGGCCTCTTGGGCCGACTTCAAACCATTGAGGTTCCTCTTGGAGCGCTCTTGTGCTGTCTTGGGTCTCGATTGCGCCTCTCCGATGACCCTTCTGATCGCCTTGAGTCTGCTCGCAAGGACCGGCAAGGCGCCTTGGGATGCCCGGAGTGACCAGCGGGCCTTTCCCAAGGGCGTCCAGGGGGCCGCCGAGACGTCCGAAAGGGCGTCCGCGGCATCTTTGGGGGGGGATCCGGGGGGTCCAGGTAATAAACATATAGGAATAATGATATCTATATATGATTGTGTATGTATGTATGTATGTATGTATGTATGTATGTATGTATGTATGTATGTATGCATGTATGTATGTATTCATGTATGTATGTATGTATGTATGTATGTATGTATGTATGTATGTATGTATGTATGCATGTATGTATGTATGTATGTATGTATGTATGTATGTATGTATGTGTGTGTGTGTATGTATGTATGTATGTATGTATGTATGTATGTATGTATGTATGTATGTATGTATGTATGTATGTATGTGTATATATATGTGTGTGTCTATAAATAGATATTCCTCTTCCTATATGTTTACAAGCCTGGGCGGGGGAAAGCCCCTCCCCCTCCCCAAAAAAAACAAACTCCCAGGATTTGAGGCTTTGGGACCCTCCGGACGGGAGTCGAAGCGGCCACCGGGGCCTCCGGACGGGCCTCGCAGGGCATTTTGCCAAGCCTTCCCAGCACGCCTAGGGCCAAGGGCGATCAGGGGGGTCATCGGAGACGTCCCAAAGACCCCCAAGACAGCACAAGAGCGCTCCAAGGACCGACGTGACCTCAAGATGGCCCAAGAGGCCTCCAGGACGGCCCCAAACAGGCCTCCACGAGCACTCCCAAGAAGGCCCCAAGAGGCAAACATTATTGATTGTCTGTTGGTTTTTGGTGAATTTGGGGGTTCTCCTCTTTGCGGCTTCCCGACGCTCCAAGACGGCGGTGTTCTGGGCGTCCGTAGCCGCTTGGGAGGCTCCAAAATCGCCCCACAACCATCCGAAAGGGCTTCCAGGCAGTCGAAGAGAGCCCCAAAACGGCACAACACGGGTCTAAGAGAGCCCCATGGCGGCCCAAGATGGCCCCAAGACACCCTCCGAAGCATTCCAAATCGTGACCCGGTCGTTCAAGGAGACCGCGGTTGGAGGCAGGGTGGCCCGAGGAAGCCCCCAAGGAGGAGCCTCCGCAAAAAAGAGCTAAGGAGGACGGGGATAATGCGCAGGGTAGGCGAACATGAAGAAAAAGAAGCGTGGAGGAAGGATAGCGAATAACATTTTTATAGCGGCGATGCTGGAAAAGGCAGCAAGGAATTATCGCTAAGTTGTCGGCTTGACCTTCCTGCTATTCCGCCTGCATACAAAAACTTCAAGGACCAAGGTGCATGGCGCGAAGCGCCACTGCAGTATTGCAGATGTGTGTATATATACACACAGATACATTTATATATATATATATATATATATATATATATATGTACATATGTATAGAGAGAGAGGCCTGGAGGGCTACTTTTTAGCACTCTGGAAGGTCCGGGCAGGCCCGGCAGGAGGCCTCTGCGCACACCATGCCGGCCCGAGCAGCGGGCGCGGCGGCCCTGGCGCGGGCCTGCACGGCGCTTGTCGCCCTGGCGCGCGGGGCCACCTTCGCGGGCGGCGGTGGGCCGGGGCCGCCCGCGCCGAGCGCGGGCGGCGGGCGCGCGGCGCCGGGCCGCCGCGCCGGCGCAGCGGAGGCGCGGGAGGAGTCGGAGAGGGAAGGGATCAAGCTCAGAGGGTGAGGAAGTACCCATACCTCTACCCTTGCCTCGTTTTGCCTTTTTGGGGCCTCCGGGGAAGCCTTCGTCGCCACCGCTGGATTCGTCTCGAAATCCGGATCAGAAATCACCGCGGGAGAGGTCCGGGGAGTAGCGGTATCGGTACTTTTGGTCTCCCCATCAGCAGCGGCGAAGTTTTATGGCTTGCCTATAGGCCAGCCAAAACATGTTGTAAGAGCCTTTTGTGGCTTGCGCGAGATGTTTTTAGAGCAGTTCTGGCGGAGATGGCCTTGTTTTCATACATCTGTATTCTGTTCTAAGTACGTTGTCTTGTGTTTAGACAACTCTTACGTTCTAAGAATATTCCGCGGTATGGCCATAGGAATGCCAGGACGGTCGGTCCCTGCTCAAAGGAAAGGCATGTCCCAGAGGGAAATCTACAGCCGGACCAAGGTACGCGGAGCGCTACGCGCAAACTCAGGTGGCCCAGAAGATTCACAGGAACCCCGAAATCTGCCCGAACTGTCCGCGGGGGGGTCCTGGATCGGCGCTGGACCCCCCCTCCCTGGCGCGCGGAGCGCACCAGTGGCGGCGCCAGAGGCGCTGCGGAGGCCCAGCGCCGATCCAAGCACTCGTCACGGAACTCCAACCATTTATGCTTACGGTCGGACCGAGGTATCAGATCGAGGTCCACTCGGGGAGGGTACCCTAATGTTCTTCGTGCTTGTTGGACGTTTTTGTGCATCCTGGGGAGGGTACCCTTGGATGCTCTGTGTTTTGGCCAGCGGAGGGTTTCATGTTCTTGAGGGATGCTCTCCTGGCCTTGGTCCGACTGTGCCCATACCGCTACACTTCGTCCGTTGTTCCCCTTTTTTGTTCGGCCTCCTGGGAGGCCCCCGTCGCCACCGCTGGACTCGATTCTGGTCAGAACGCACCGCAGGAGAGGCCCAGGGAGTATCAGGAGGGGGAAAAACACACAGACGCAATTAATCGTCGATTTCCAAGAAAATAAGGGAAAATATGGGAATTGGGCGGGAAGACGAAAACCTAGGAAATATTGGAAAGTATGGGGAACCTGTTTATTTTTGTGTATTTATTTGTGTGTCGCAGGGCCCCTTCAGAGTAGCAGTATCGGTACCTTTTGGTCCAATGGCATAGAGACAAACTTCTGGAGGTCCGCGCGGGCTCCAACGGTCCCTCGTCCCTGGGCCTCTGCGGGCCACCAGGCCGCTCGCCCCCGGGCCTCTGCGCCCAGGGCTCTGGCTCCGGAGGCGGCGACACACGGCCGGGAACTTTGGCTATATAGCGCGTGTCGCGCCGCTGGCTCTGGCCCGCCGCGTTCCGGCGCGGCCCGCCATCCGCTCCGCAGCCCCCCGGGACGCCGACGCCCCGAGCTTCCTTCCCGGCCTCCCGGCCTGCGGAGCGTGGCGGCGCGCCCTCCGCCTGCAGGGACAGCGCGTCGCCGGGGCCGGCGGGGCCGCCTGCCGGGCAGCAGCGTTGGGAGGCCCCTCGGCATCGCTCGGCCCTTGCGCCGTTTTCTCGGCGGGGCCAGCGCCAGAAGATCTGGGCCTCCTCGGAGCACCGTGGACCATATGGAGGAACAAGCACGCGAGACCAAAGCATGCACGGGACTGGACTTCCCAGCGATTGTAAGGTCAGATATATTTCAGGAGGGGAAAAACACACAGACACAATTATTGTTCGATTCCCCAGAAAATCATGGAAAATATGGGAATCGGGGGGAAGACAAAAACCTAGAAAATATTGGAACATGTGAGGAGTATGTTTATTTGTGTGTATTTATGTGTGTGTCCTTGGGCCCCTTCAACATTAGAGCACCCCCAGGGTGCGGAGGTAAACGCGCTTCGCGCGTCGCAGCCTGGGCCGCTGGGCTAGCCTTCTCCAGGAAGCGGCGCCAGGGCGTGAAGACTACCGCGCGTTGCGCATCGCGGGGCGCGATGCGCGAAGTTGAGTGACCCAACACATCACCTTCCGGAGGTCCGCGCGGACTTCTAGGCTTCCCAGATCGGCCTTGGGCCCCCCGGCGGCGCCCCGGGTGCCGCTCGTGGTGCGCTCCGCGCGCCAGGGAGGGACGTCCAGCGCCGATCCCAGAGATCTGCACGGACCTCTGAAAGTGTATGTTCATGCCGTTCGTTGTTCTTCCGAGGAGGCGGGGTCGGCGTGCAAGGGCGATGAGTGGTACTGTGCCTACCTCGACTGCTCCTTGCAGGAGACGTTGGAGCTATGCCCCTGCTTCTGCGCGACGACGACCGCGACGACCTCGACCGTCTCGGCAACCACGGGCACGGGGACGAGCGGGACACCCACGGGGACGACGATATCGACGGTCACCACACTCAGCACCACAGCCAGCACCACAGCCATGAGGTCGATCACCAATTCGGTCACGACCATTAGCACCGCGGCCGCCAGGACTGCCACATCGATGGCCAGTTCGACAGGCTTATCTAGCCTGACGGTGTCCACCATGACGAGTACGAGGACCTCGTGCACAGAGGAGTGGTATTGTGGCATGGTCGATTGCGGCATGCCAGAAGCGATCGAGAGGTGCCCGAGCAGTTGCTTGGCCATCACCACCGCAACGACCACTGCGACGTGGACTACCACCACAAGGCCAGCCGCAGTCGCCCTCCTGACAGGCAGCTTCTCCCTGGCTCTGTGGGAGCCTGCCGATCTGGCCCGCGCCTTCGGGCTGGGCGACCCTGCTGTCAGAGCGGCGCTCGCATCCGGCGTCGCGGCCGTGGTGCCCGCCGCGACGCCTGAGATGGTCGATATCACGGGCGTCGCCCTCGACGGGCGTCTCCTCTCCTCGGCGGCCAGGACTGAGGCCCGCTCTGGCTCCGCTGGCGTGCTCGTCTCCTTCGAGGCACTCATGCAACTGGCGAGTTCGCTTGCCGAGAGCGTCTCGGCGCAGGACTTCATGCAAGCAGCGGATGGGTTGGAAACTAGCCTGGCGCTGGAACTCGCTAGGGGGGGCCTCAATTATACAATCATTGGCGTCAATGACCTTTGGGCAACCTTGGAGTTTGTGGCCGCCGCTAGGACTACGACTCTGTCGGGCTCTGCGAACGACGAGGCGGGCGCCAACGCTGAGCTTCTGGCAGTGATAGTTTCGCTCTGTATCGCAACCTGCTGCGTCGGTATTTATATTTGGAAGCAGTCGACGATCTGCCTGCACAATAGCCAGAAGTGCACGTGTGACATCAGCGACCGCGACGTCATTCCCGCAGCGACCAGCGGCCCAGGCCTTGCGCTAGTAAACCCCATTGTGCCCATAGATGACGGTGCTCCAACCCAGCCTCCGTGCTCGTTGAGGAAGGAGCCGCTCACCGAGAGGTCCCTCCTCCAAGTGCTGCAGCTGGCGCGGGGGGAGGAGACAGGAAGCGAGTCGATCGCCAGCCGTCACTGTTGCAACATGACCATCCCAGGCGTCTCGACACAGCCGCTGTCCATGATTCAGGACGTCGGCCAGCTTGCCACTCTCGCTGGCGCGCCAGAACAGGAGGCTAGCATTTGGCGGCTGAAGATCGGGGAGCGAGCCACTCTTGAGGGTGTTTGGGAGATGCCCTGGGATGAGAAACGGCAAGGGGCCAAACTGAACGGCAGTTGTAAATTGGTGGAAGTGATTTACCAGCAAAGCCCGACGCGCGCCGCCTCGCCATCATAAGAGTTTGCTTTTGGGTTGCGTGCGATTTCGCCCTGTTCCGTGATAAATCATGATTTCGTGTGTCGATGCGCTCACCACAGAGTGAGAATCGTTGTTGTTTTCACTTGCTTGCTGATCCGCTAGAATTAGTTAACGCGCAGATGCAAGTGCAGACGCGCCCGCGCACTGCGCAGCAGGCCTCAAGCAGCCAACATGAATCTGTACAGACTCGCGCCCCCCCACCCGCGGTGCACTCTCCTCTTCCTTGTTGCGCGTCTGCTCCACCGGCACTCGTCCTCTGTCCACCCTTCGCATCCAGACCTGCACACACGACGTCGCTGAGCAGGCTGGGCATGTGCGGGCACTCCCCGAGACTTCTGACGTCGTGGTTATCTTTCACGAAGCGGTCCCCAGACCTCCCGACCCCATTCCCTTTATCGCCGCGGGCCGATTTTTGATGCCGTTGTAGTTGTTCCCGCTCCGTTTGTTTTTGTTGCTGTGTTTCTCTCTCTCTCTCTCTCTTCTGTTTGCCGCGTGGACTGTAATTATGGCCCGCGCACCGAAGGTGTGCTCGAGCGCGTATGCCCATGCCCCCGCTTGCGAATGTCAACGGGCTCGGCAAGGTAAAACGACTTCCTCCTCCCCTATCCCACTCCTCCACGCTTTCCTCGTCCTGATCCACGCCTCCCCCTTCATCGTCCTCACTCCTCCTCCCACTCCCCCTTCTTCATACTTTGCACTTGTGAATAATTTCCTGTCGCACCAGACGTGTCCGTGTACACCCTTTTGGACTTTTCGATTGACATTTGTTTGCACCTTGTCATCACGATGTTGTCTTAACATTGGCAGCAGCTACACAGACGGATGGCGGTACCTGTTCAAAGTGTGGTCCTCGCCACAGTCCCGCACACATTTGTTTTGAACAGGTTCTAATACTTGCGAGGATGGGGGCCAGCACGTTTTCTACATGTGGTTCTCGCCCCAGCGCCGCGGTCATTCGTTGCAAAAGTCCCCAACGGTTACACGGATGGAGGCCAGTACCCGCTTGAGCCGTCCTCAACACATTCCACCGAACGCCGAGTAAATCTGAGTACCAGTCACAATTATGGAGGGCGGCTCTTTTTGAACATGGGGCCATTGCTTGCGACTTCGTGAAGCTGCACGGCCAGACTGTTTATGCTGAAGGCATGACCGAAGGGTGGCTTCGGGGCGAGGCTGTCGTCGGGCACTCCCTTTGAGCTCGAGGCTCCAACTTTGCCGCGCTTCCCATACAGCTCGACGGACGGAGGACGGTCTCTTTCCAAACGGAGCTCCTGCCCGACCTGCGGGTCCGGGGGCCGCTTGCTACTCGAGGAGGCGCTGCGCGCAGTACATCTGATGCGTGCAGGCTTTGGTCTTCGGCGCCCTTTTGATTTTGGACGCTGCTCTGGTGTTCGGCGCTCTTTCAAACTGGAGCTCCCGCCTGACTTGCGTGCCCGTGGGCCGTTCGTTATTCGAGGGAGGCGCTACGCGCTGTGAAAGTGATGCTTGCAAGTGCTGGAGCGTGTGTTAGCATCATGATTACAGTCGGACCGAGGAGCAAAATCGAGGTCGGTTCGGAGAGGGGGCCCTGGTGTTCTTCCTTCTTGCTGGGTGTTCTTGTGCGTCCTGGGGGAGCACCCTCGAACTTTCCCCAGTCTGGCCGGCGGACGGTCTCGCGTTCTTGAAGGATGTTTTTCTGGCCTGGGTCCCATTGTATTCAAGGGAGGCGCGTCGCGCAGTGACAAATGAGGCGTGCAAGCAGGCACGAATTGAGCGCGGGGGGGAGGAGGGAGAGGGGGAGGAAGAGGAGGAGGAGGAGGAGGAAGAGGAGGAGGAGGAGGAGGAGGGGGAGCAGGAGAAGGAGCAGGAGGAGGAGCAGGAGCAGGAGCAGGAGGAGGAGCAGGAGCAGGAGCAGGAGGAGGAGTAGGATGAGGAGGAGGAGGAAGAGGAGGAGGAGGAGCAGGATCAGGAGGAGGAGCAGGAACAGGAGCAGGAGCAGGAGGAGGAGGAGGAGGAGGAGGAGGAGGAGTAGGATGATGATGATGATGAGGAGGAGGAGGAGGAGGAGGAGAAGGAGCAGAAGGAGGAGGAGGAGCAGGAGGAGGAGGAGTTGAGGTTAGCTATGGTCCTCGTTCTCCTCGCTCTGCTCCTGCCCCTTCCCCCTCGTTCCCCCTGCTTTCTACTTGCTCATCGCTGTCCTCCTCGCCCTGCCTCTTCCTTCCTGCTCCATCTTGGAGCACCCTCCCCCACCCTCTCTCTCAGAATCCGCCTCATCCCTCCGCCATTATCCTCATTCTCCCTCCGTGCCCTTCTCCCTCCCGACCCGATCGCCCCGAGCAAAGCCGAAGTGGCCAGCAGGAAGCAACGAGCTGTTTGAGTTGCTGCACTCCGTCCTGCAACCAGCACTGCCACCAAACCCGTAAGTCCGTAATTCCCTTCCTTCCACCGGAGCCCTCCACCTTCTCCCGTACTCTTCTCCCTCCTGTTTCTTTCCCCCCCCCTCTCCTCGTCCCCCATCCCCCTTCCCCCCCTATCACCCTTTTCCCCTCATCCCCCTCCCCGTCTCCCCTTGCTCCTCCACCTCGTCGACTTCGTCCCTCTCTCATCCACGATCGCAGGGAGTTTTAAACATGAGGACGGCATGCCCAATCTCAGCCTCGCGGTCCTACGTCAACACGTTGTTTTCTTTGAGTCTATAGAAAGATGTGTTTTATCTCACTCCCTGGAGCATTCCTGCGAGCGATACACAAGACCTAGTTTTAAATGTGGACGGTTCATGATCGAGTGTTGGTGTTTGTGCTGGTGGTTGTGCGAGCGCTTGTGCTGACAGTTGTCCTGGTAGTTGTGCTGGTAGTTGTGCTGGCGGTGGTTGTGCTGGTGGTTCTGCGCCACCACTACCACCAGCACTACCACCAGCACAACCATCACAAGCACAGCCACTAGAAGCAGAGCCACCACCAGCACAACCACCAGTACAACCACCAGAACAAACACCACCAGCACAACCGCCAGCACGACCGCCACCAGCGCGTATCCACCAGCGCAGCCACCAGCACAGGCCACCATCAGCATACCAACCAGCACAACCACCAGCAGATCCGCCAGCACAACCACCAGCACAACCACCAGCACAACCACAACTAGCATAGCCACAAGCGCAACCACCACCAGCAGAACCACCAGTATAACCACAAGCACATACACAACCACCAGCACAATTACCAGCACAACAACCACCCTCACAACCACCAGCACAGACGCTAGCACAACCACAAGCACTGCCACCACTAACAAAACCACCAACACAACCACCACCGCCACAACCACCAGTACCACCACAAGCACAACCACACGCACCACCAGCCAAACCACCAGCCCAACCACCAGCTCGACCACCACTAGCATAACCACCAGCACAACTACCAGCACAACCGTCAGCACAACCGCAAGCAGAACCACCAGCTCAACAGCAAACAACACCATCACAACCTCCAGCACAACCACCAGCCCCACCACCAGTAGAACCACCAGCACCACCACAAGCATAACCATTGGCAAAACCACCACCACAGGCGCAAGCACAATTACCAGCGAGACCACAAGCAGCACAACTACCAGCACAACCACCAGCACAACCGCCACCAACAGAACCACCAGCACAACTGCAGCACAATCACCAACGCAACCACCAGCACAACCACGTCCAGCACATCCACCACCAGCACAAGCATCAGCACAACCGCCAGCGCAACCACCAGCCAGGGCTGCAACTAAACATTGTGTTGTTTTTGTTCCAACGTGTTTGTTTTGATGCCGTTTTCGTTGTGAACGTATTTCAAAAGATGCTGTCGCTTTCTCGGAATGCCAGCCGTCGCACCCATGCGTTTTGGCCACCAGGCAGGCGTTTTGTTGGTCTATCTGTTTTGGCACAGACAGGTGCCGCGCGTCTTATTGGGCGATCTGTTCTCGCGCAGGCAGGCCCCACACTGTTTGTTTGTATTTCGTTCTACTGAGCGAGTAATACGTATTTCAATCTTCGCAGGGTTTATTTAATCGCTTCGCTCATTCCGCCGGCCCTCGAGCGCTCTATGGGGCCTCTGTGAAGCCTCTTGGCGGCCTCCTAGGAGCCTCTTGGGGGCCTCTTGGAGGTCTCTTGGGGCTCCTTGGCGGCGTCTTTGGGCCCCCTTGGGCCTCTTGAGGGGCTCTTGGGGGCCCCTTGGGGCGGGGTAGTCGAGTGCACCCCCCTCGGAGGCCACGATCCTCGTATCGAAAAAAGGCCCTCAAAACCATCTCTGGGTAGACTTGGTCGGGCTGCGGTCGGGATACTTTCCGCCGGGGGACCCACAGGGGCCGCCCCCCGCGCGCGAACTAGAAATATTGTTAACCAGTTACCGGAGATCTTAGCACGCCTCTGGCCCGTTGGGCCGGCGAATTGGTGGTTATGCTGGCGGTTGTTGTGCATGTGGTCGTGCTGGTGGTCGTGCTGGTGGTTGCGACCACCACCGGCGCAACCACGAGCACATCTACCACCACCACCACCATCACGAGCACGTCCATCACCAGCACACCTTCCAGCATGATCATCAGCACAACCACCAACATAATCACAAGCAAAACCACCAGCAACACCACCACCAGTACAACCACCAATACAATCACCAGCACACTGACCAGCAGAACCACGAGCTCAACCGCCTGCACAACAACCAACACAACTACCACCAGCGCAACCAGCAGCACAATCACCACTTGCGCGATCACCAGCACAACCACCAGCAAACCCGCCAACACAACCACCACCACAACCACCAGCACAGCCACTAGCACAACAACCAGCACCAGCACAAGCAACAATACAACCACCAGCACAACCACCAGCATCACTACCAACGCAACCATCACCAGCACGACCACGAGCACTTCAACCAGCACAGCCACGAGCATATCCATCACCAGCACAACCACCAGCATAACAATCAGCACAACCACCAGCAGCACAATCATCAGCGACGCTACCAGCACAAAAGCAAGTGCTACCACTAGCACAATCGCAAGCACAACCACCAGCACATCCACTAGCGTAACCACCGGCACACCCACCAACGTAATCGCCATTAGCACAACTCCTACCAGCGCGCATCCCCCAGCTCAACCACCAGCACAACCACCAGCACAAGCACCAGTGCAAACACAAGCACAACCACCACCAGCACAACCACCAACAAAATCACCAGCACAACCGCCAGCACAACCTCTAGCACAATTACCTGCACAACCACCAGCACAACCACCGCCAGCGCAACAGCCAGCACAATCACCACTTGCGCAACCACCAGCAAAACCACCAGCACATCGACCAGCATGATCACCAGCACAACCACCACCAACACAACCACCAACGCAACCACCACCACTACAACAACCAGCACAACCACTACTAGCACAACCACCAGCAGAACCACTACCAGCACAACCAGCAGCACGACCGCCAGCACAACCACCACCAGCACAGCTACCACCATCATAACTACGACAAGCATATCCACTTGCACAATCGCAAGCACAACCACCAGCACAACCAGAAGCATCACCGCCAGCGAGATCATCAGCACAACCACCATTACAGACACCACCAGCTCAACCACCACCAGCTCAGCCACCATCACAACCACCAGCACAGCCAGCAGCGCACAGCAGCACAACAAAGAGCACAACAACCACCAGCACATCCACCATCAGCGCAACCACCAGCACAACGACCAGCACAACCACCAGCACAATCACCAGCACAACCACCGCCTGGCTGCTTCTGCGATCCGCATGGTCCAGTCCAAACCATCCGCAAGGCTTCTCCTGCTCTCCGCATTTCTCCGTCCGCCAGTGTAGAGCACAGTACAGGGAGTAGATGAGAGTAGAGTAGAAGTAGAAGTAGAACAGGTTGGAGCAAGAGTAGGGTGTTTTAGAGTAGACCAAAGTAGCGTAGACTATGATTACAGAAGAGTAGATCAGGGTAGGACAGGGTAGAGTAGAGTAGAGTAGAGTAGAGAATAGAGTAGAGTAGAATTGGGTAGAGTAGAAACGGATATAACAGAGTAGCTTTGAGTAGAGTAGGGTAGTGTGGAGTAGAGTAGAGCAGAGTATTGCAGCGTAGAGCAGAGTAGAATGGAGTAGACGTGGACCACCCGACGTCTCGACCCGTTCCTTGTGACCGGCGTTCTTATCCTGAGTTGTGTCTCGACGGCTCTGTGTGGCCCGGCGAGGGCCCTCCGATGCCGAAAACAGCAACATCGCCCGTCGCTTCTTTTCACGACAAGACCCGGTCTGGGCTCGTCGTTCGTGACCCCCCCTCCCCTCTGAAGGGGGGCCGCTCGCACTCCCCCTGCCTGCCCCGCGCGGCCCGCCGCCAGCAGGTCCCCCGCGCCGCGCTGCGGGAGAAGCTGGTCGAGCTGAGGCGCAGGCGCCCCCCGCCTGCGGGGGGGCCGACTTCGCGGGGCGACGGCCGGCGCCTTCCAACCGATCTTCATCCCCATTGGGCCGTGGCGTCGAGCAGTATACCTGGCATCGCTCGGACGTGTGCATTGTTTCTCGGCGAGGGCCATCGAGGAGCATCCGTGATCATTTGGCGAAAAAAACACGCACGAAACCGAAAAAAACACAGGGAATGAACGTCCGAGCGATGGCCAGTTATTATAAGGCACCGACACCGCTACCCTTGCCTCGGTTTCGCCGTGTTTGGCCTCCTTGGAGGCCCTCGTCGTCTCCGCCGGAATCGCCGCGAAATGATGGTAATGGCGTCCCCTCGTCATGTGCTGGCGCTCTGTGAAAAGACAGGCGTGGAAGTTCAGACAGCTTCACGGGTGGAGGCCAAGTTCTTGCAGAATCGTATTCTTGTTGTGGCGCCGTACATGCGTTAAGTCCTCACGAGTTGCATGGATGGAATGGGGATCTTTCTTGAGCCTAATACGACTTGTAACGCTTTGCGGTCGGATCTTCAATGCATCGGTGATGCGCGTTGCGAGACTGGCATGTGTTGTCATCGTGGGTGCATATATGTTCTGCGGGTGCTGGCCGTAGTGCGAAGAACAAAGGCTGCTGCCACTTAGAAGGAGGGGCATGGGGCGGGAGGATGTATCTCAGAACGAGTCGTAGGTGTGTGCTCGTTTGCATGGTTATCGTCCGTTGTTCTTTTACCTCTGTTTTGTTTCTCTCTCCCTCTCTCTTCCCCTTTCTCTCTCTTTCTCCCATTCTCTTTATACACAGAGTTATATGGATACATAAGGCTAGGTATCTTTCGCTGCGGCTGATCCTGGCTGGGAGAGGGATGAGGATGTGGAGGAGAAGGAAGAGGAGGAGGGGTAGGAGGAGAAGAAAGAGGAGGGGAAAAGGATGAAGAGGAGGAGGAGGAGGAGGAGGAGGAGGAACAGAAGGAGGATGAAGAGAGGGACGAGGAATAGGAAGAAGAGGGAGATCAGGAGGAGGAGGAGGATCATCAGGAAGAAGAGGAGGACGGACAAACATCAGGAAGAAAAGGAGAATAAGGATCATGTTGATGCGGGAGAGGAGGAGAGGAAGGCGGCGGAGGAGGGGGAGTAGTAGAAAGAGCAGGAGGAGGAAGAGGAGGGGGACAGATGAGGAGGAGGAGGAGGAGGAGGAGGAGGAAGGAGGAGGAGGAGGAGGAGGGAGAGGGCTCGGCTACGGCGGAACAGACCGCCGCGTGGCCGCCAGTGCGTGAGGGAGAGGAGGAGGAGGGGAGGAGCCTCTTGGAGCCTGGGTGTGGGTGTTCTTGGAGATCTCCTGGGACGTCTAGGAGGCTTCTTGGATCGTCTTGGGGCCATCTTGGCCGTGTTGGGCCGATCTTTGAGCGACACGGAGCTCTTGTGGGCAATCTTGGGGGCCATCTTCGGCATTCTGGGTTCTTTTTGGGGCTGTTCGGTCTGTCGGGGCCGCCCGGGGGAAAACGCATCTGGGTGGCGACCTCCCCCAGGACCCCCCACCCACGGGGAAGGGATCGCAGGTCCCTTCGACTCCAATACGACGTTGTACGATTTCGCTTTGGATGGCACGCTTGAGGAGGGCCTAGGGAAAGGGACGGGGGACGACGGATACGGCGAGGAGACGACTGTGACGACGACGAAGACGACGAGGAGATGACGGAGACGAGAACTCGAACGGAGAAGCCCCTCGCACACGCCGGCAGGGTCGGCGGATGCCAACATCGTTGATGAGTCTTGGGTTTACACTGGTCCTTCTCCTCCTCCTCCTCCTCCTCCTCCTCCTCCTCCTCCTCTTCCTCCTTCCGTAGCCATTTTGGCTCAAGCCATTTTGGCTCAAGTAATCCATGTCCCGAGGCAGCTGGCCAGGTCAGCTTCGGGGGGCTCCCAGCAGCGGCCCAGCACCATTGGCTGCTGGAGCTCCCCCTTCTGGGCGAGTGCCCCATACTATCGCCAACACGTATCTTTCTCCTCAGTCACGACTGTCTTTTTTCGCATGGCCTCTGATGGCTCTGGCAGCTCTTCTGATGATCGTGGGGGCCGTGACGAGCACAGCCGCAGTGGGGGCGAGGACCGCCCGCGTCGTCGTGCTCGGCGCAAGGCCTGGGCTGACATCGGCAGAGGCCCTGCCGACCGCCCTGCACCGCCATCCACGCGTGCTCCCGCCCTTCGTGAACGCAGTGAACGTGATCGCCCGCGGCGCGGCGACGGACCTGGCAGCCTGGCAGCCCCGCCGCAGTGGGCTGGAGCGAGCAGCAGCTCTGGTGCCACGGCTCCAGCCAGCGCGGCGGCTGCGGCCCCTCCTGCCCCAGATGCCCTCCAGGCATGCGACCCATGGCGGGGCGCGGCGGCTGCGGGGCCACAGTTCTCCACCCAAGAGCTGCGCGACATCGAGCGCGACTTCCAGGTGCTCGAGACGCAGGAGGACACAGCCACACCAGTCGGCGGGACGGTCACACCCGGTGAACCTGCTGCTGGAGCAAGTGGGTCGCCAAGCTCCATCCAGGACAGTCTCCTGGAGCTGGTCCAGGCCCGCATGGACTCCACGGTCTCCCAGCTCAGCAACATCTGCACGCAGTCTCTGGCCACCGCCCACAAGGACCTGGTGGGCGCCATGGCAGGCTATATCGATCCCGTGCTCAAGAATGTGGCCCACCAGTCGAACGAGATCCACCAGCTCAAGCGTCGCCAGTCTGACCTGGAGCAGAGCAACGTCGTCCTCCGCAAGCAGATTGGCGAGATCCGTGAACAGCTCGCCATGGCGGAGAAGGCCCTACCAGCGACCGACCTGGCCAAGCTTGCCGAGTACGACCGCGAGGCTGACCCACTTCTATTCTCCGCCAACTGCAGCTCAATGGTGGCCAAGAACGCGGTCTTGGCTAGTCTTTCAGAATGGTTTGGCGCCTCCACAGTGGCGCCTGAATATTTGGAGCTGGTCGGCGGCGCGGAGGTCCCCTCCAAGCGTTTCTTCCTGCGGGTTCGTGGCGATGCTGGAGTTGGCGGCGCCCGCGCCCTTGCACTGGCACGCGCGCTGCGACTCCCTGGAGGCTCCTGGAGATCCTTCCAAGTCAAGACGCCTGACGGCCGACTGGTGCCACTCCATGTGGGTGCCGACAAAGCCCCTCGCCAGATCCGCCGAGAGATGCACACCAAGAGGCTCCTCTCCCTGCTGCAGCAGTCCTTCGCTTCGAACCGCCGCGACTGGACCGCCATCCGCCCGAAGGGCATCATCAGTGTCAACGCAGTGCCCATCATTGAGGTCGTCCCACAGGGCTTCCATGAGCCCTCACGGATATATTGGCACCCCGAGACCACACGCTACATCAGCGACGACGAGCGGCAGAAGATCATCGACCAGTTCTGCGAGGCCACCACCTTCAACACAGAGGTCGACACCTCCACCTGGTCTTGTTCCTAGCCCACGCTGGATGCCCTGGGAATTGGCTGCTCCCCAGGGCCAGGGCCCCAGCAATACTCAGGCGCTCCGCATTGCTTCATGGAATGCCCAAGGGCTTCTCTGCCATCGTGCTCATCGCCGCAACAACAAGATGCAACGGCTCTGCAAGCTTCTACAGATGCGAATGTTGATCGTCGTCCAGGAGGCGCACGGGTCAGAGATCAGGCTGCAGACGTTGCTGAACCAGACGCCCTACCATTACCGTGCCGTCATGTCCGCGGGTGACTCTCCTGGGGCTGGCGGCGTTGCCTTCCTGATCCCATGGTTCTCTGAGGCGGAGCTCGCGGCGCTGGACCCTCAGATGCTCCCTTCCCTCTCCCTGGACTCCGTGATCGATGGTCGCGTCGCAGTCCTCACCATCAGCAACCTGACTAACAACGAGCACATCAAGATCATGAATATCCACAACCATGAGCTGCCTGCAGCCAAACTTCCTCTTGTGCGCCATCGCTGGCTTGACGGAGCTGCATGGGCACAAAGTGACGAACGACACCGTATTTTCATCGCTATCGGGGACTTCAATATCGCTGACATCGAGCCGGTGCACCTTTCTTCCCCGAGCGCGACCTCCACTTCGGCACCAACACGGGGTTCTCGGCGACGGAGAGCTCCTACTACTTCCTCCTCATCCTCGTCTTCTTCCTCGCAGTCCTCCTCTTCGGATTCTTCATCAGAGTTGGCTAAGAATGACTACCGACGAGAGTTGGGTTTGTCTACCCTGCGGGGGGCGCGGTGCGAGTGGGGACTGCCCGGCGGTGCGCCGTTAGTGACCCTCGCACCGTTGCCCCCCGGCCCCGCGCACGGCGCGGTGAGTTCAACTCTGCCTCTGGCTGGATGGAACAGTGACTACCGACGAGCTGGTGGCAACAGCCGATCGGTCTGGCATCGTGGTAACCAAGCACAGGGCTTCTGGCGCAGTCTCTTCCAACGGGACATGGTGGAGATCGTGTCCGAGCTTCCCACCCACTACTCCAAGCGCCACCAGTCGTGCACGTTCATCGACAGGGCCTTCATCTCGCTGAAGTCGCACTTCCTCTTGGACACCTCCGTCGCATTCGAGATCTGGCAGGAGGCGACCTCCCTGGCGGACTGGGGCCTCAGCGATCATGCTATCATCCAGCTGCGGATCCAGCCTCGTACCGCAGCGGCCCCTGACGATCGCGCGATCCCCCAGAGCGTCTTCAACTCGCCACGGTTTGCCAAGCACATCACCAACCTGCTCAACCACTCCGACTTCACGAACATAGCAGAGGAGAACCGATGGTCCGAGGTAAAGCTGCAGATGATCGAAGCTGCTCGCATCACCCGCAATGAGCTCCAGGCCCTTCCCATCGGCGATGGCCATGCTGACGCTCTTGAGGGTCGCAGAATCTCGACACGTGCGATTGCGAGGGCCATATGGAGGCAGGACGTGCACCTCGCACACAAGTTGATCCACTCCACTGCCATGGGCCGACTGCACCTCACAATCAATGGCGACAACCGCATCCTGCTGGCCAATCCACCTGC